CCTGCCTTGGGCAAGGACACCTTCCACTATCCCAGGCTGCTCCAAGCCCCATCCAACCTGGCCTCAAAAATATTAGTCTGCTAAAGATAACTGGGGGAATAAAAAGGTAAATTAAAGGAAATAAAAAGTAAAAATAAATGAATAAAGTAAAAATATGACACACCAGGATAATATGAAAGAGAAGCATTTTTGTCTGTCAAACTGCACTGTGGAAAAAGCCAAATGCCCAGGTCCCTGCTCCTGCCTGCTCCTTGGAACAGAAATGAAGAAAAATGTGTGTGCACTGAGAAAACTCAGAACCCCCCTTAACTGCTGAAGATGGGAAAGGGTGGTCAATATTCCCTGATTAAGGGAAGAGGGAGGGGATGTATGTGCTAGTTTGGGCTGGGGTTAATTTTCTTCACAGTAGCTGGTACCAGGTTGAGATTTCTGTTTGAGCTGGGAACACGTTGATAACCCAGGGGTGTTTTCCTTACTGCCCAGCAAAGCTCACCCAGAGCCAAGGGTTTTTCTGCTCCACACACAGCTCCAGCAGGGAGGGACTGGGAGAGGGGGCACAGCCAGGACAGCTGATCCCAACTGACCCCAAGGATATTCCCTCCCATATGGCCTCGTGTTCAGCACACAGAGCTGGGGGAAGCAGGAGAAAGGGAGGACATTTGGAGTGATGGTGCTTGTTTTCCCAAGTCACTGTTACCTGTGATGGGATCTTGCTTTCCTGAGGATGGCTGAACACCTGCCTGCCAGTGGGAAGTCAGAAAAGAACTCCTGGTTTTGCTTTGCATTTGTGTGGCTCTTACTTCACCTATTTAAGCTGTCTGTATCTCAAGCTGTGAATTTTCCCACTTTCACCCTTCCAAATCTCTCCCCCAGCCCACCAAGGGGGAGCCAGCAGCAGCATGGGGCTGAGCTGGGGTTAAACCATGGAAGCCATAGCTAATTTTAAAACTGCAGTGCTTGCAAAATGACATCTCTCTAACAAAAAAAGGCACAGGGAAAATTTAAAATGTGCCTTCAAGGTACTCAGGTATCACTAACATTCAAAGGTAACCTTTTCTTATTTCATGCCTCAGCTGTTAATCTGAACATGGCTTGCATGTACACTTCCAAAAAACTGCCTTAAAATAAGATTTACAGTCATTTTAATATGGCTGTATTAAATGCAATTCTTATGAAACTAATTTTGAAAAGTACATTTATGAAGCAAGGAATCTTTACCTATTAACCTTCCTAACAAGGCAAAAATACAAACTTTCCTTATTGTAACCAATTATTAGAAGTAACTTGTTTGAAAAAAAAAAAAAGCTCAAATCTATTAAACAGAACTACCAGTCCCTGACTCAGAAGACAGTCACACCTTTCCATCAAGAGAAGCAAACCAGGAAAATTCCCCACAAGCAGAAGCAACTCAACAGAATCCTGGTATGTGAGTAACACTGGGCTGCTCTGTCCATACTCTGGGGGGTACTCAGATCTAAAAATTCCACGTTTCACCTCAAATTTGGGAGCCATCAGCTTACCCTGCATGGTGTCATTAAAACCTTGCATGACCCATTTGTAGCTTCACACTCCACAGCACCTTGCAGTAGTATCAAAATGTCACTACAAGTTCTGAGAAAAGGATGTTCCCCCTTATCCTTTGTTTTGAAATTACTAATTATTTCAGCACTTTTCTTCAGACAAGAGAAAAAGAATGAAATTAATGATTTCCCTATTCTGGCAACTTTCTCCCAAGGTGAAGAATCCTAGCATATATTTTAATTTACTTCAAAATTACTTTAAATTACTTTAAAACATTTGTTTCTTCATCATTTCCACAAGCACCTCAAAGGATCAAAAGCAAAAAAAAGTAACCACATGATTTCATGAAGAATCAACAAAACAATTTCATCATTAGCAATAATTTTAGTACAAATTAAAATTACTGATCATAATCAGCAAATAGCTAATTACTGAAATTACTGAAATTCTCAGGAACTAATTTTCCAATACTATAAGATGTGTCTTTAAACACAGATGCTGCCCTGAAAAGCCTTTGTTCTGTCTTAAAAGAAAATCAGTCAGCAACAATCCATGAGTTCATCCACAGATAGCAAAGGAAAATCTAAGTTTGGATTAAAACACAGAACCATGCACAATAAAATGCATGTGTGGACATTCACAATTTTTAGAAGAACTTCAAATTGCTAAATCCTAATATTCAAGGTCTCGAAAATTACAGGAAAATAAGTTCCTGCAGTTCCTGACTCCATGTTGGAACTGATTTTATATTCGTGGCAGAGTTTCTTTGTCACTAATAATCTTCCCTTATTTCAAAAATACCCAGCTGTAAGATAAGGTATTGCACGAATTCTGATGGAAATTATTTCTTCCCCACTCCCTCCATCCTTCTCCATCTCCCTTATACTTAATGTGTAGCAAAAGAATATGATGCAGTTGATTTCTAATTACTTAGACAAAAACAAGAGTTCTGCATATGCTGGCAAAACTGAGTTTAGACTTTGTACAATGGAAATTATGAAGAATTATTTTGCCGATAGCCATTATTACATGTAAGCTTTCTTTGGGACAGTATTAAAGGCACACTGCAAAAATCACTTGAGAAAAACTGCTGCCCAACAACTCCATCCTGACTATGTAACTATTGCTACCAAACTTTATTGCTCAAGGTAAATGGTGTTTAATTCACACACTCTTAATGTCATCCTGTCATGCAGCTGCTCAACCTTCCCCAGGCAAGTCCATCTGCTGCCCAGGGGTTACCTCAGTGCTTTACATTAATCCTCACTTACACATGCTTCCTGTGGAACTCCAGGATCTTTCCTTCAAGTTTTTCCTGGTTTGGCAAATACCGGTTTGTTTTAAGGTGTTCTTGATCTTCTGATTCATCAAAATCTCCTATTTCAGCTACAACAGAAAACAAAACAATGTTAGAGTAGGAAGAAACAATGGAAAAGGAACAATGATAGAAAATATTTGGTAAGGAATTAGAGAGACCACAAGAGCCTTTAAGTGCTTCAAATTTGTGCATGATGTTTTGTATCCAGCTTCATTTTACCAAACTCACATTTACCCCAAGCTGACTTTCTGGGGATTTGAACATTGTCTGGAAAATTTAGACTTCTTAAGAGTGCAAGATGTGAGACATGTAAGAAGATCTGTGGGGTGGTCAGAACGTTTCCTCCTTACAGGTACCTTATACCGCATACCATATTTAAATTAATTTTTTTTCTATATATATGTAGAACAGCAATAGACAAGGCTACTCAGGAAGATGGCAAGTTACACCTGGAATTTTGGTCTCCCCTTCACATATCCATGTCTTTCAGATGGAATGCTGTGAATTTAGGAAGATTTACAGAAGAACAAAGCTTTATTGTGAAGTGCAGAACAGCTTCCACCTGATACAACACGAAACGATCAGAAGTCTTTGGCTCAGAATACAAAAGTACAAGGCAGGCAGAACATGTGGCAAATGCATATAAAATTACAAGTTGAATAAATAAATTTTAAGAATTTCCTTTTTCTGATAAAAGATATTAAGTTGCAACATTAAATTCAAAATTAAAAGGTCTTAAAAGATAAAAGTACATATGTTGTCCTAAAAACTTTCCAAAAATTAAGCTATGAAGCTCATTTTTGTGGAAGGATGCCAAAAATATAAGCAAATTCCAAAATTAGACAAATACAAGGGCAACAAAACAAATGCAGAGTCAGTCTGTGGTGCTGTGTGTGCAGTGATTATGGGATGGATGCAGCAAAGGAAGAGTTGCCATATGCTTGCTCTGTGTCTGAGGGCATCTACCATCAGCTAGTGTCAGAGAAAAGAATGGGATTGCTCTAAACAAGAACCCAGCAAATCCTGCTTAAAGTCCAGCCAGCACATAAAAGGAGTAAAAAATACTGAAAGGCACTCTTGTAAAATAATTTCTGCTGAAAATAAACCTGTTATTTCTCAGAGCCAACTTTCCGGAGGAGCAGAATCAGGCTAAGCAAGGCTGGAAAATCATGAGCAGGTTTTAATGTGTCACTCACTGATGGCACACACACAAGACAGCTTTGCACTTCCAATAAAGTCACCACAAGTAATACTATTATAACTGTATTATTATATTGCATTGCAGAATTAGACAACCAATAACTACTTAGCAGTGCATATGTGAAGAAGCATTATTGATCAGCCAGCAAAGAGCCCCCAAAGGCCCTGCCCTGCCTGCAGGTCAGGTTGCAGACCTGTGAACACTTCAGCTGCTGCTCCAGCAATTTGGTGTCTGAACTCACTCAAGGTTTCCAACCTCCTTGTCTCCAAGGCCACATTTTAGGTCTTTATGCATGTACAGACTGAGCCAGCAGCAGCATGGAGTGCTTCCAAATAAATTGCTTCCCATTTCCATTTTCAGTCCCAGCGAGGAGGAAAGCTGCTGACAGCCCCACTGCAGAACCTGTTCCAGCATGGTTCTTAGCTGTGTTTCAGCCCAGTTCCTGTACAGCCATCTTCTCCCAGGCACAGGGAAAGTGTGAAGTGAAGCCAAGGGAGCACCTAGACAGGTGGGAACAGCTGTCTGGAAGATGTGGAGTGCTGGCAACAGAGCTTGCAGAGCCAGGGAAACAGCAAGGTGCTGGTTTTGTACTACCCCTCTGAAGCCAAATTAACCTCATACATAAGCACCGGCTGTTCCTCCCCACACCAGCCCTGATGACCATCAGAGGGTTGAAAACCAACATATTTACAGTGTGTGGAGAAGGACATACTGTGAGACAGAGAATTCTTTTAGTTACCAAAAGCTTCTATGTGTGATTTAATGTGGGTTAGTACTGGCAGCATCAGCAGTGCCAGCCCAGCTGGGATACTCACACTGCAGAAGGTGGGAGACCAGCAGAGCAGCCGTGTTGTCACTGCAGGTCAGTCTCTCCTCTGCCAGGTCCCTCTTGATTTGCAATGCAAACAGGTACCTGCAGGAGAGGTACAAGGCTTGGAGTTACAGACCATCCTGACACATGAAAGGACAACAGAACAACTGAGCAGGAGCTTATAGAATCAGCATCTCCTGATTCTTCTGCTCTCTAAAGAACAACACAACAGCCTGGCTACCAAGGAGTGTCAAATCAAACCAAAATAACCTGTGACTGCTCCAGTGCAATTTATCAGCACAAAAAGACTCACAGGAACAAGGAAGCAGAAGGAAAACTACGTTTTAAGCAGGCTTCATCTGTGCAGTAACAGCAGCTGTCATTTTTAGCTGGAAAGAAAGAACACTTCAAATGATCTTATCCATTAGGAAAAAAAAATGGAAGAACATCACTGATTCCAGTATTTTGTTAGGAAAACTGATAAGCATTTCTGTTAGCACTCAACTAATCTACTCAGCAGCTATATTTTCCAGAACTATATTAGCAGCCTACAAAGACAGTAAGAAGTTCAATTTACTTTTCTTATACTGCTATATTAGTTCAACTAAAATATTTCCCATTAAGTTGTTAAAGAGGAATAATTTCAGTTTGACAGTTTTGTATGCTGTTCCTTTAACTTGGAAGGAGATACAGTAAGGACTCCAGTAAACAGGCAACAACTCACTACTATAAACCTTCAAACTGACAGACTGATCCTTTTTCTTTACTGAATTACATCCTAAGAGATAGCAATAAGATTTTTTTAAAGAAGAGTTTATTTTAAAACTTTATTCCTGAAGTAAAATATACTAAAAATTATACCTTTTGAGTGATAGGTCTTTTTAAAGTTTTGAAGTACTGTAAGTATGTATTAAAGGTTTCTCAAAAAGTATATTCTGCTTTCTGATGAGCTCTCAGTCTTTTTAGTACACTCACAATAAAGAATATAGCATCATTCACAGCATCATTGACTACCCAGATGCTCTAAGTGCAGCCCATAAATACTCAATAAATGGGCAAAATACAGATCCTGCTCTAAAAAGCTGTATTCCTAATGAATTTCCTATATGAAACAGCAGTTAATATAAGAAAACCTGGTGCAAAGGAAATATTTAGATAGTCTTTCTCCTTACAAGAGACAATCACAACAGTTGTCACGCTGGTTTGTTCTTAAACGCATCTGAAGGATAATGAGGAACCTACGAGGAATTCCAGTTAAAATTAGTGAAATTGTGAAAAGCACTAAATGAGTTCTTTAAACACCAACATCTGGGTAATGTCCTTGTTAGAGGCAGACTTCAAACCAGGTCTCCAGGTGCTAGCAGGTGGATAGGGCTGCTTAACTGACCACAGATCCATTAGCAATCCCCAAAAATAACCTATGGTGAGCACAGTTTAAACTATGAACAGCAAAGTGTGTTTGCAAATGCAAAGTATGTTTGGAAGTGTCAATCACTTATTAAAATATGTACTGATTATTTTAATTTATTTTTATAGACAGTGTTTATAAACATCAGCATTTTCTGTATACCCTGACTCCCTTGACCACATGATGCTGGAAAGCCCAAACCTGTGCTGCTTTCTGTTTTGAAAAGTACTTTTTCTGATACCATTCATCTGCCAGCACATCTGCTGAAACTCTAACATTTACTGTAAGTGCTCTTTCACTCAGTTTTGCTTGGAAGCAGCTGTGCTGCCTTCCTATTATATTAATTCAGTACATGAAGCATGTCCAGTAGTTCTAAAAATACTTTACCTGGTATATTCCTCTTGCAGCTGACCTGGGTCAGGAGGAAAGAACTTTACAGCCAGACGAAGCATTGTAGTCTTTGGTCCTAGAAGAAAAGTTGGTCATTTCACAAAAGCACCCAATGCTCTTCATAAACACATGCATATTCTGTTTGCCAACAGGCAGAGAAACAACATAGAGAAATTCTAGCCAGATTTTAAATCCCATCTAACCACAGCAGGTGCTGGTGTAGATTGTTCATGTCAAGTGAGATAAAGCAGCTGTTTTCCAGAGGAACTTGGATACCACTGACAAGGTGAGTCTGCAGGCTGAATGCTGGAAAAAGTTTCATGCAATGTGAAATCTGTAATACTCTAAAGCAGCTGCTTGGCTGCATGAAAAACCATCAGAGGTGACTCAGGGACAGGGTCCCAGAAGGAGAGCAGAAGGGAGACACATCCCACAGGCTCTCAACACCCATCCCCTACCACCAGGACTGTTACCAGCAGACCCAGCTAGCACCCCATGCAGATAAAAGGGTGCTTGCAGCCTGCTCCCAGCATGCCTGGTAATACACATTACCTCGCATTTCCAGAAAACTAATTTAATTTTCAAAATTAAAGAGAATCCTGGATCACTATTGGCAGCCATCCATTGTGCTCTAAATTAACAGTTCCAGCATCACAACTCAGCCTGTGGAACCACAATCCCTGCTTCCCCTGGCTTTCTGAAGGAATTACTACAGAGTACAACAGTCTCTCACCATGCAGCACTGTTTTCCCATTGTTTTTCCTGCCTGAAAGCAAATGAGACCAAGTATTCCAGAGGCAGGCAAAGCACTGGCCAGGCTGTGCTTCCAGGAGCCTGCTGAGCATCCACTTGATGTCCACAGGCACCCTCTGGACCAGAGCCAGGCAGTGCCCCCAGGGACTCCTCGTGCCACTGCTGTTTCAAAGTAAACTTACCCAAATTAAAAATAAATCAAACTTGCTGGAGCACAAGCAGCCTGCTTTAATTTATTTTAAGCACCAGGATCTCTCAAAGCTTAACAGAGTCCAGTTTAACCCCATCAGCCCCAAAGTACACTGATTTCTTCTTCTGCAATATCTGATTCCCAAGGCCAAACATTCCTTCACTCATCCTCTCGTTTGCTAATGAGAGAATAACAAACTTTGCTTTTTGACAAGTAGCTGGGAGAACTCACAGGCTATCACAGCTGTGACAAGAGCAGCTCTCAGCCTCCAATTCCAGAATTACCAAACCTTTGGTGAACAACAAAAAACCAAAAAAACTAAAATCCATATCCTAATTACAATGTTGTATCTAGAAATGAAATGAGGGTGGAAATAACACCCTTTAATGGCACAGAAAGCCCACATTTGGCAGAGACTAAGGATCCTACACTTCTAGACTGTAGATCAAGTGAGGAAAATAAATAGTTTCAATGATTCCAGTTAAAAGACCAAAACTTTACATCAAATTTCTGAAAATACTCTGGGCCTCTGGAAGACCTTCACAAGGTTAAGAACAGTCCTGCACAATACTGATGTCAGTCAAGTGGAAGTATCAATGTGGGAGCGATTTTGGCAATGTTTCAAGCATCACTTACATCAAATGATAATAAATATCAGAAATTAAAAACATAATACTACATATTTTCCTCTGTAGCACAACCCTCCTCTCTTTGTTTAGGCAGTCTTGCCTTTTCTCTATGAATAAGTTCCACTCAAATTAGGGAAACACTTGCCCAGTCTTAACCAAGATGCATAATTTATTTTAAGAAGCCAAGTCTGAGCAAAAGAAAGAAATAAAAAGGATGTGAGGAAAAATTATCCAGGCAGGAATGGTGAATACAACACTGTATTATATCAAATAGCAGCATCTCAGAGAAGGTACCCAAATGTCAACCTGATACTGTGTGTCTGTTAAGGAGGCTGAAAATTTGGATCCAAACTTCCTATCTGGAGTGATTCACTAGTAAAACTGACTGCATTCATTTGAAGTTAATTTTAAAACTCCAAACCTTATCACACAAAGTTCAATGGATGTCACAAAGCCAAAACTAACTGGGAGCAATCCAAGAACTTCTGTTTTTAGAGAGGATGTCAAAGATTCAGAAGTGCCTATCTGCAGGTACACAGCAATCACCAGCAAGATCAACCAAGTTTGAGCAAGATGACCTTAAAGCCCATAAGTGTTCCCCTGCTGCTGAACTAAAAGTTAGAAGTTTAACTTCAAAATCATTATATTCTACATTAAAAAAAAACAAAAACAAAAATTAAAAAAAAAAAAAAAACAAAAATTAAAAAAAAAATAAACCCCCAATATATAGAAAATAGGACATTTCAGTCAATTTAAAATTGATTTCAGAACATGAACATTTGCCAGACAACAGACTGGTATCTCTTACAGAATAATATTAACAAAAAAATTAAATACATTTTTCTGTTTCACTGGCACCACAACATGGGTGGCAGACTGTAAAGCAGCCATAAATCTTAGTAGATGCTCATTATTTTAGACCATTTTAAAACAGTATTTGTATCCTCAGGGAACACTATCTGTGGTCAAAGGTCAAGTTTATACCACAATTTATGTAGTATAGGAAAGGATACAGGAGTAACCAAGCAGCACTGCAGATCCACCTGATCTTTTGACTGGGACATAATTCCTTCTAGCCAGGAGGATATAAAAAGACAGCACTCCCAAAAACTTTTTGGCAGGGAAAACAGAGTGAAAAAATTCTGTACTCTCCCAAAGGAGCCTTATTTTATAGATGATTTGGCTCTTCTGATTAAAAAACAGTGTTGACAAAAGTCAAAAATCGTGACCTTAAAGCTAGAAAATTAGCTGAAATTGATGATTCTGTATTTTTAGACAGAAGAGTAGCTAAAAACTACTTCCCAGTACTCATTTTCAGCATATTTCAATCAAGATTTGGAAAGGAGCAGGAATCCACCACACCCTCCTGGTCTTGTTCCTTCACAAAGCCTCTACAATCAGAACCACAAAACAAACAAATTGCTTAACTGTGTTCCACAAAGGAAAAAAACAAAAAGCTGGATCTAATCTTTCAACATCTGAAGAACCAACCAACAACCTGCATTCCTCAACTGTTTTGGGCCTTTAAAGTGCCTCTCACATGAACACTTTTTAGGTGGTATAGAGACAAGACCACACTTCACAGCTGAGGCAGAGACTCTGACATTGCAGCCAGCACCCAGGTGGGAGATGCCCACCTCTGCTCCTCCAGGGCAGCTGCTCCTCAGCATGTGGAAAGAGCTGCCATGGGAATCAGCCAAAATGTTCCTTTTTCTTCCCACGGTATGACAACACAGCTTCCAAAAGCTAACAGCAAGTGTTGTATTTCACTTCACTATAACACCAGCTGAGCCAACCTATCCAGATATTTATCAGACAAAGAACCCTACCCGCAGGAAGTTTCCATTCCACCCACCACACAGAACCTATTAAAATGTCAGGTTAGCATGCCCCAGCAGGAATCACTATCACTCTTGCCATGTGTATTTTACAGGGAAGCATAACCAGTAAATCAAGTAGTAATTGTGAAAGCAACCCACATAAAGAAGATGCAAATTAAGGAAAACTTCCTTTTTTTAAAACTACTTACTCCGTACTTGTTTAATAACAGGTTTCATAGGTTCCAGCCAAATCTGGAATTGAAGAGAAAAAAATTACAAACTTACATTCTTGTTTAATATAATATGAAAACATCAAAAGTAAATTCAAATTAAGCAGTTATTTATGAGTAGCATTTCTTCCTCAATGCAGTAATTCCTTTGCTCTACAAAAAGTGTATTTATCTATTTGAATTGACATTTTTCATGCATCAATACAAAAGCCACTGATCTGTGCTTAAAGTTCATCTGGACAGAAGAAGAGTCAAGTCAGCTAAAGCAGAGTCCCAGTGCCAAGAGTGCAGGAGTCATGCCAAAATCCACAGTCTGACAGGAGCCAGGCTGCAGCATTACAGAAAATCTGCAGAACATGGAAAGGTCCAATGTTTTTTTCCCTTCCGTGCTATTTCTGTCACTCTTACCTACCTACTTAAGGCTCTTGACTCAATATTATTTTCCCACCATTTTTTCTCTTTTGACAAGCACATTTTAAAAGAAATACTATTGTTCTAGTAAAAGGAGCATCCATAAAGGTAATCCAAAATATTCTGGAAGCTCAACCTTTTATTTTCCCCACTCTTCCAAACAGAAAATTGTTAGAAGACAGTTATATTTGGTCCTTACTAGTTACTGCTCTGTTTGTGAGACAGCTGAGGATTTTAAGAACCTTATTAGCTGCAGGAACAGTTTGGACACCATGCACAAGCAACAGCAACTAAACAAGCTTTAGTGTATTTCCTCAGCTCAAGAGCAGCATAGTTTAGTGCCATTAGCATTCCCTATGTTCTCAGTCATATTCTCATAAAATCTAAAAAAAAATTTAAAAAAGGTTCAAAAAACACAAAAAAAATCAAAATGAAAGGAAAGTTTGGGGAACATTTTCCAGTTTAGAAGCCACACTGTCCTCTTTGCAAGATACAGGATAAGTGACTAGGAGGCTTAAAGGTGTCAGCATTGATCTAGATCAATGATTTAAAAAGCTTGCAGGCCCGTGTGCCTCCTGAGGTTTGTGTTGATTAGAAAGAGGTTTGTAATGGCTCTTCAGGAAAATTAATTTAAGACTGAATTAACTGAGGATAAATATGAACACTACCAAAATTAAACACCATAATTTGATTTTATAAATTCTCTGCCGAGGACACTTTGAGTTCATGTTTCTCCTTTCAGAGGAAAAGAGGGTTTTATTTCTGTCCCTGTAAGTGGCAACATCAGCAGCTATTTAACTGCTTTATACAATTTCTGAAACATAACAAGAAGCAGGATCTGATTCCTCCCTTCTTCTTCTGATTCCTCTTGTCATTCTGCTGAGTGAAACAAATTTACAAGAATCCAAGAGATAATCCCACAGGAGACTACAGGAAACTGCAGCAGACTGAGAAATTTTTGTCACTCAAGGAACTGCATTCACCCAACCTTTTTATTATGCCAGATTTGTCAGGGAACTGTACGCACCCAATATGACTGGATATTCTGGAACTCAATTCCAAAGTAGTCTGATTCAATCAAATTCAGATGCTTGTAAACTTCTGTCAATAACGTCTGGCCGTAACATTTTGACTAAAGAAGTAGTAGAAAAAAGTTACAGTGAGATTAATAACAATAAACAAGAATAAGTTTACAGCAAAAACAAATGGCATCTTCATAAACTGGAGAAAAATATCACAAATATTTTTCACATTGTTCTTGTCACTCTAACACACAAACATCTAATATACAGGACTCCATACAAAAATCTTTCACAGAGCCAGAGGAACTGAAGTTGAAAGGGCCACTGGAGGTCACCTACACGGAGTCTCCTGCTCACAGCAGGGTCAGCAGAGAGCTGAGCAGACCAGCTGCGGGCTATTTGCGGCTCCCTCAATAAACCCACACGTTTGTTTGTGTAGCTGAGTGCTGTGGCCTGGAGCAGGAGCTGCCAAATCCCTGCTCCACACAGACCCCTCACTCCTCCCCACACCAGGAACCCCAGGCCACACACAGCCTTCGCACCAGCCAGGCTCGAAATGCCTGCGGACAGCGGGAACCCCACCAAACCTCCTCTCACCACGCTGGCTGCGGAATCCTTTCAGTGAATCTCTCCCTCAGACTCACTCACTAACCCTTTCTGAGAGCCAGGTTAGGGGCAAAGCCACAAACATCAGCAGAAAGCAGCTACAGCAACACAGGAGAGAACAGGAGACTTCCACAGCACACCCAAACCAGCGCCACTTGGGGCTGCTGGTTCAATCACCCAGCTTGCTCTCAGCATCTCTCACTGCAGCAGGCGCCAGGAGAAAACCAGCATTTTTGAACCCACACATCAGCCCATCTGCACCACTCAGGAAAGACTCCAAAGGGCTGTCACAGCCCATTCCAGCAACACACAAACCTAGCAGGGTGCAGCAGGAGTTGCATGGCCACCAAGCTCCACCTTGGGTCACGAAGCATCCCCCAGCCGTGGTGACAGGGTGTGGCACCATTCTGGGTTATCCAGCAAAACACACTGGCAGCCAGCCAGTGGTTCTGATGCCACCATGGTTTTGTTCATTTTGAAAACTCCAGTGATGAAAGACTCTGTGACTTTCCCCTCAAAGTAGGCACAGAGTTCTGTAATGACTCTACATGCTCAGAATAGTACCTACTTTAAAAATATTAGGCATTATAATAAATTATCACAGAATCACAGGATGAATTGGGTAGGAAGGGACCTTAAAACTCATCCTGTTCCACCCCCTGCCATGGGCAGGGAATTTCCCAGGTTGCTCCAAGTCATGTCCAACCTGGCCTTGGACACTTCCAGGGATCCCAGGGGCAGCCACAGGTTCTCTTGGCACCCTGTGCCAGGGCCTCCCCACCCTCCCAGGGTAGGATTTCTTCTCAACATTTCATCTTCTTCTCAACATTTCATTTTCTTCACTTTAAAGCCAAAATAGAATTAGAATAATTCAATACAATGAAAATTAAAAATATCTGAGAGCAAGAATGTGCTATTTTAGGCTTAAAAGATAAAAAACAAGGGGAGCATTGGGGAAATAGTTTCACATGACTAAGGTGCATAAAAAATTCAGAAGTAATTGCCTCTTACAGGAAAAAGATATAAACTGCCAGTGTTTTTAGAGCTCTGCAAATGCCTCTGTAACACTTTAAAAACTCCTAAAATTTCAAGGAGAAAAAGTCTGAACAGCCCTGCAGTGCTGCAAATCTGAAATAGCTTTGGTATCTGCAGTTGTGTGAGCAAAGCTGACTGAATCCAACCCTATAACCTCAGAGAAAAGCATAGAATCAGGACAGAGAATGACACAAGATGGGTTTGTATCTCTCACTCAGGCTTTCACCACCCTTGGTACCTGTAAGAGCAACCACAGCTTCAGTCGGGTGAATTCATCAGGTGCAAACACAAGTCATTCAAAAAGTTTCTTGGTATCACACTGGCTCAGGCCACTAATGCTGAAACCTCTAAATAAAACTGCAAGTCAGGAGAAATGATGCAGTTCTCAGTGACTGCAGATGGTAGAGATGCCAGGCTGAGTGCTGACATGGCACATGAATATGAGTACTCCTCTCTTTCTGAACAGTTCTTGTGATGTTTAAAAATGCATTTCCTTGGTAAGAATACAGCTGAACTTTTTTAGCCAAAATCTGTGGTGCCAGAAGACTCTGTGGGTATGGGTTTTGGTTCTTAAATGGTGACAATGAAATAAGGAATGATAAGGTAATGGCAAGCCACATCTCCAGACAATTACATTATTTCTCTGCTGTCTCCCTGCACATTTCCCATGCAGGTTACAGACTCTGCTACAGGAGACATTTATACCTGGATAAATTAATTTAGGAAATCAAGTTTTTACTTTTTAATTGAAACAGATTTCTTGATATTCCCAGAATTCACAGAATGACTGGGTTGGAAGAGATCTTAAAGACCATTGAGTCCAACCCAGCCCCAACACCTCAACTAAATGCAGTGCCACATCCAGGCTTTGGTAAACACATCCAGGGATGGTGACTCCAGCACCTCCCCAGGCAGCCATTCCAGAATTTTATCACCCTTTCTGTGAAAAACTCTTTCCTAATATCCAACCTAAATTTCCCTTGGCACAGCTCAAGGCTGTGTCCTCTGGTTCTGTCAGTACTGCCTGGGGAAAGAGCCCAATCCCACCTGGCTACAACCACCTTTCAGGAAGTTGTAGAGAATGTAAGGTCACCTCTGAGCCCCCTTTTCTTCAGGCTGAGCACCCCCAGCTCCCTCAGTTGTTCCTCAAGCTCCCTAAGTCACTCCTCAATGGACTTGAGCAAAAACCTTAAAATAGTAACAGAAGTAAATATCCTCAAATATAGTAGGACCCTTGTTTTTTAAGGTACATACCCACACATCTGTAATTGTACACCTCCTTTTCCCAGGCCCCACAGGAGAGAACACTTTTCAGCCAGCAATATTGGTGGGGAGGCAGCAATACCCTGACCAATCTCATGTGCAGAAAATGGGGCATGCACCTTGCCTTTTCATGGACAAATTTACAAACCTTTAGAAGCCTCTGAACAGGATGTATCCTATGACCCAAGTCCCTGATTTCTTATTTGTGAAATAAAAAACAATTCTGAATCCAACCACCTTTTGTTAGAACTGATTCACTTGGATTAACTCCTGAAAGATGCCTGCTAACAATCAGACAAGTTTTACAGACAAACCGTGTGCTGCACTGATCAAGGAATCTGTGTGCAGGGCTAGCTCCATACAGGCATTACAATTATCCCAGCAGGATTCCAATACACAGCTTTTTTCCTTTTCAACTGAGTCATGTCTCCTGGCTCCATCTAGTTCTGTGCCTGAAGACTACCTAGCTGCCTTCATCTCCCCCCAGAAAAAGAGGTTTTATGGCACAGATTCCTGGCACTTCTCCCCTTCCACTGTCAAGTTCACACTCCTTCAAGAGAAACTGGAGATGAAGAAATTTAGATAGTTGGAACTGGAAGCATTTGGCAACCAAGTAAATTATAAAGGTACCAGCCAAATGTTAAAAGTGTAAAATAATTTTGCTTGTGCTACCAACTGTAATTTTGGGTGTTATTTACAGTGAAAAGCTAAGAAAAACCCCAGTTTAAAATCAGTATAGTTTTGCATCCTTCAAAGGATAAATGTCACAGTTTGAAAGAACAGTATTAAGTTTATTTTAAAATTAAAATGGGGTTCAAAAGCTTGGGACAGAACACAATATTTTATTACTATGCTTCAAATTCTTTGGGAAAACTCCTCCTAGAAGTATTTGGTTTCTCAAGTTGTTTATTACATTTATAACCATCCTTTCCGAAGAGCTGAACATTTTGAAGTAGACAGAAATGAAAGTAACACAGTGGGCAGCTCCATGCCATTGTTTAATTTGCATAAAAGCAGCACAAAGCAAAATATTTGAAGTAATTTCTTAATTACTGTAATTTTGACATCAGGACAAGTAGCTGCATGAATGCGTTTCATAAAGGTCCTGCTTTCAGTACAAATCCACAACATGGCATACTTTCCATTCCAAACTTCTCAATTACTCTTTATTTTCTGCCAAGACAATGACTACTGATATTTGTGAATTATTTCACATAAGGAAAAAGAAGAAAAAATGGGGTAAAAGAACTAAATAGGCAGCTAACAACAGCTTTCCTCAGTGACCCTGCTCTAACTGTACTGTAGATAATTATAACAAGTCATCATTATAAGTCTGATTGGTAGAATAGATTAATTTCAAGTTGATTCTATAGTGAGATGAAGCTTTAAAAGTTCCCTCAGCTGTGCAAGTGTCAGCAGGTATCCTGACAGCCAGTAATGGCATGGAGAGCCCTGTGAGGCAAGAGAAACTCCAAACCAAACCCCAAAACCCTCGCAGTGCTAAGACAACATCAAACAGGAACAACCATTCCCAGCTGAAGGTTCTTGCCTCACAAAGATATCTCTATTTTTTACTTTATCAGAAGAATAAACATACTTAATGTTAGGAATGCTTAGGACTGAGGAATAAAATATAAATAATTTTTTAAAATGTACCAACAGCAGTTATTTTTGTTTTATAGAACAATATAATCACAGGATGGTTTGGGTGGGAAGGGACTTTAAAGATCATCTCGTTCCACCTCTGCCATGGACAGGGACACCTTCCACTATCCCAGGTTGCTCCAAGTCCTGTCCAACCTGGCTTTGGACATTCCAGGGATCCAGGGGCAGCCACAGCTTCTCTGGGCACCCTGTGCCAGGGCCTCACCACCCTCACAGGGAATAGTTTTTTCCCAATATCCCATCAATCCCTGCCCTCTGGCAGGGGAAGCCATTCCCCCCTGTGCTGTCACTCCATCCTTTGTCCCCTGTCCCTCTCCAGCTCTCTTGGAGCCCCTTTAGGCACTGGCAGGGGCTCTGAGGTGTCCCCAGAGCCTTCTCTTCTCCAGGTGAGCATCCCCAGCTCTCCCAGCCTGGCTGCAGAGCAGAGGGGCTCCAGCCCTTGGAGCATCTCCATGGCCTCCTCCAGACTCGCTCCAGCAGATCCATGTCTTCCTGATGGGGTCCCACCAGAGCAGAGCAGAGGGGGAGAATCAAGCCAGCT